GTCGGCTCAGGCTCCAGGAGATCTCGTACGCCCTTTGGTGGAGAAAGTGGACAAACCTCCAGATCCCAACAATGGAAAACCTAAGGATAAGAGAAGGAATAAGTAAGTAAGTAAGTAAGTAAACTTCATTTGTATAGCATAGCATTTGTATAGAATAACTAAAACAAGACCCCTAAATAAATTATGCCAAAAACGTTGAAGAAAAGAGATGATCAGGAAAAACAAAGAACACAAAAATTATCTAAATTTAGGCAACAGAGGACAAAAAAAAAAAAAAAAAACTGGAGAACCCCAGAAAAAAAAAAAAATTAAAAGAAACAAAAGATCCAGAATCACTGTGACATTGAAGTCGTCTTTAAATGACTTTGCTAGCTTTACATTAACTTCACTGTTTATGTGGCCGAAAATGAGGCTTGAATGAACTCTGGTTCACAGCTGAACACAGAAGTTAAAGGAAAAGTCCGGTCAGGAATAAACAATGGATCATTACACCTAAAACTAATACTGTTGGGATCTGGAGATCTGTCCACTTTTCTCCAGCAGAGGGTGTTCTAGGTCTCCTGGAGCTAAAGCTGACCACCACACCTGCGGCTCATGAGCTCATCAGGAGACCGGCATTTAAGGAGGGGCGGAGCTACAATCCGACGCCAGAGTGTTTGCCAGTTATGGTTAGCGAACCTGAGCAAACCTGCCTGTCTGTATCTCTGACTCCCTTGAAGCCTGAACCTGAACCTAATATGCTTTTTGTCCTCTCTGCTTCTCAGGAAGAACCTGCCTGGGAACCTGAAGACCTGGAAGGGTTTCTCAAACGTGAGACCAAGCTGTCTGTTCTAAGTAGAACCCCTGGAAATCCAACTCAGTCTGAAACCTGCCTGCCCGCTTTCAGCAAGAGCTGAGAGAGAAGCTCTGAACCTGCTCAGTAAGATTATTTGCTCTGCCCTGCCTCTGCCTAGCCCTCTGCCTGCCTTCAGCCTCTGGACCCTCCTGGTTCCCCCCTTCTACCGCTCTGCTCATCTCTGATCAGGTATAGACCTGCAAATACCCAACCTGCAAGTTCACTAAAAGACTGCTAACCAATCTGTCCCTCTCTGCAGTGAAAACCAGTCGTGACCAGACCCGGACCCAGTTATTCCCAGAAATCATAGTTCTTTATTGTGAATTGTCTTCAATAAACTTGTGAACTTTTTCCCTGCCTCTGAGTGTTCTGCATGTGGGTTAGATCCCTGAAAGCCAACATGACAAATACGTTCGCGATTTAATGACTTTAGCGTTAATCAGTTAAAAAAATAATTTTCCAGGAGTGGCCATTTTTGCCCAAAAATAGTTGCCCCTCCCTCCTGCCATCTTCCAGCAGTGACGTCACGGTGCGGTAAGCCTAGCGCCATTCTCCCCGCTTTACAAGCAAAATCAATGGGAACTACTAGACACATCTGCAATCAACAACAATTATTGAAGATTTTCAGAGGACTTCACCATTGAAATTCACCAGAGCTATAGTGAAACTGACAATGCCCACGTGCATGGCAGCTGGATGCTGGAATACATCGGGTAAAAGGGAAAAAGTGAAAAAAAAAAGAGTTATTTCACCTTTCTGATTCCTGATCCTCCACGGACGGGTTGGTCGTTGGATCGCCAACTTGAAGAGGGAGGATTTGCCATCGAACTTCAGGCCAGAGAAAAAACACGTAATATGTAGCCAACATTTGGAAGAAGAATGTTTTCAAGATGACTTGGATAATAGCGCGTTGTGACAAACACCAGGTACAGCACTGGGACTTGATCAACAGCCGATACCGCACCGTGACGTCACAAACCAGTAGGTGGCAGTAGTGTTCTTTGACAAACATGGATAACTCCAGTAAGGCACATTCACATGAAAATTACACTGAATTAAAAACTCTTATCATTTATTGAACAGGATGTAATCATTTAATATTTAAAGAACTTTCAGAAGTTTTAATTTTGAATATGAGGACTTCACCTTTGAAGTTTAAAATCAGCTTTATCTTCTCTGTTAAGTCCAGATCTGTGTTTAATAAACTCAGTTCATGACAGAGATGGATGTTTGATACGAAGAGTTCAGCTCTTGAAGAGAACAGCGATTAGCCTGAAGATGTTTATCTAACATTACTAGCCATAACTAGGAAGCAAGTCCTGTCTCAACAGGTCGGATTTACTGAATAAAAGCAGCCAACCACAGACCTAAGCGCCCAGAAACCATTCAACATGACAATTAGAGAAGCTACAGGAGCATAAAAAGCAAGAGAGCAGAGGAGGAGAATGGAGTCATGCCTGCTTTCTAATACGGGCCTCATGAGAATGTTCAGAATGTGCATGGACAGTATTTACATGCATGTGTTTAAAAACTGTTTATATGAGTATTAATTACGTGCATGCATCATTGGCAGAATGCTGACTTCAACCAAGATCACTGCATAATGTATGTTAATAAGGCAGCATAATTCACATGTTTTTATTTACAGCAATGCTTGGCGGCGTGGCTGCAGAGCATAAAGGAAAGAAAAGATGATCTAAAAACAGAGAGAGATAGAAGTGATCAAGAAAGTGCCTGTTGATGTTCAGAAGGGGGTTTCTACATTAGATTGAAAGAAGCTGGAGGATGACACCTGAGTGGCTCTAAGTTTTCTTTATCAATCGTAATAAAATAAAACCGTAATGAGCTAAAATAGTATAAGGATGTCTTAGGTTTTAAATTTTGAATATTGTGTTTTGCAGGCAGGGGCGGATTTAGGAAAATTGGGGCCCTAGGCAAAGACAGGCAGGGGGCCCTCTGAATTGAGAAGGCAACACATAAATCAGCCCCATTCTGCAGATAGAGAAATGTTAATAGAATAGACATCCATTATCTGTTCTAGGTTTTGTCCCTCTCTTCTTGTTTTCCTCTCTATGTTTTGTACTCAGCTGACTTTTCATGCTGTCTCAAAAGGAATGAAAGATTTTTTCCAAGCACTAAGCTCACTTAGCTGATTGCTCATTCCTGTGTTTCCAAAAAGGCCAAAGTAAATAACCCAGTCCTTCTTTTCACTGTAGACAAGCCATGATCTGCTTATCTGTTCTCCATTTTTCATTTGGATGAAATAATAGCTGCATGAATCATGACAGCAGACAAGATAGAGGAGAGCAGGAGGCGGGGTTACCAATCTACTCGCTCTGGAGAGCAGAGTTCACAGCTTTTAGATGTTGAAGGGTCTGAAAAGTGGCTAAATATAGCGACTAAAGTGCTAAGTTGGCAACAGTGCTCTTTGTATCGTTTGTTTTCAAATGGTTTGCTGCTGTCTGTTTGGACCTTTCTGAACATGTGCAGCAAAGGGACTGATCCAATATGGTGGACACATATGGTGTCAAAGAACACTACCCTTTTGCAGGATAAAGATGTTGTAAAATGTAAAGAAGATGCTCACAATTAAACTAAACAGGAAGAAGAGTCACGCCTTCCTCCATACCCTAAGGCACTGCCATGTTTCTCAGAGCCAAACTGGAACCAGGGAAGATCACCCGGCCAAGAGGTTCTGAGATTCAAACCTGGTTAGGCCGGACATACACTGTATGAGGTTTTGCCTTTTATGGGATGATTCTTCAGTCAAGTGAGATTTGTTTTTAAATGGGCCAATTGTGCTTCCTGCGTCGTGTAGCATACAGGTAGTAACGAGGGGCGATCAGCCTCTAACGACCACCTCCCCATCAGGAATCGTAAGGTCGGGAGAAAATCAAATGTTTAAAATTCACATGGTCCTCCTGAGGTGTTGGTGGGTAAATCCTGCTGTTGAAGCAAAGCTATGAGCCGATTTACCAGAACCTCGAGCACTGAGCATGTGCAAACAAGAGAGTTCTTCTTCTTCCAGAATTACAAGCCTGACCAACGCCATCTCTCAGCGCATCAGGCTGCACGGTGGAGGAACAAACATAAACCCTGCGGTTTCATCGTACAGTTTGAGGATTGAAAATATCATAGAGTGGATGCCCGGCCTTATTAAGTCTATAACACAAATTATAGCTGCTTTTTTGATCAACTGTGTCATCAAAGCCAAAATGTCTGCAAATCCCAGAAGGTCCGTGTATTTCTCTCTCAACTTAATGCTATAGTCGTGTGGCAGTAAATTCCACAAATCATCAAAACTTTCGGAGTTAATATGTGCCCCAAACGAACCTTCACACCAAATGCGAATTTGGCAGACAGAGATAAGATTCCCATGTTATCTCCATGTAGAGGGCGGATCTACAGCGAAAGCAAAGCAGAGCGAGGCGAACGTGCCGAATTTATGGAGGTGAACGACACAATTTTGGCAAGTTGGCGACATTTGATTGTTGATTTGAGAAAATTGAAAAAATCAGAGCTTTTGCTTTTATCAGTGTCGTGAAATTCAGTAAGGGACCAGATGTGGCTGTGATCTACACAACAGCAGTGCAGCGGAGACAAGCTTTTTTCATTAAAAATCAAAGATAGAGAAAATGATTTTGAGAAAAGATGAAGTGGTTGATTTATACTATTCACTCCCAATAAAAGCATTTTTACTCGGTCTGTTTGCAAGGACACACAATGCCTGAGTGACGATGTTTTTTAGACCAGAGATTCCCAAAACAAACCAGATTCTTTCTCAAGGTTTATTTATAACATGCTACTGTTTAACCAAAGTGTCTGTAATTTTTTTTTGACTCTGACTACTTTCCATTACTTTAAGTAAGTGAGTCAAATGCTACCCTGATCAGAACAGGGCTGATTACCATGTAATAAGGGCCATATGATCAACTGTTCTGTATTTGCAAAGACAAAATAAAGAGCCGACTTAGTGAAATCCATCACTCTGTTTATTTAACTGGAGCGAAGAGCAGAAAACTTTTTTCCCACGACAGCGGATTTAAGATGGCTTTTAAAAAAACTGTTTTAAATTAGTGTTAGAAGGACTGTTCAGTCGTCTAACCTCCAGTTGTCAGCTCACAGTGAATTGACTAGGAGAGAATAAGAAAGGAAGAAGCATCAGCCAGTATGACGAGATGGGTGGGAATAAAACCAGTTAGCATGATCTGTTTATTGTCAGATTCATTTCAAATTACGCCTCTCATTTACAGACACCACTGCTGCAAGTCATTTCTTTCTCCTCTCAAACACAAGGTAAGATTTTGATTTACAGTTTGTGATTTCTCTTTAGCTTTTATTAGATGTTGCTGTGAGAAAGTAGATAAGTTAAACAGAGCTGAGATGCAGGGAGAACATTTGCTTAGTCGCTCCACCGCCTCAGACTCTCTGCTGTTTTTTTTTTCTTTGGCTGCTATTCAGTCGTTTTTAATGTGGCCCTTTGACCTGATTAAACTGACTTACTGTGTATTCAGTGTTGTTGGAACTGAATAATATTTTATATGTTCTTTATCTTTTCATAGATTTGACTGGAAAGGATTAAAGTAGGAAAAAGACCTTTAGAGAGTAGAACTTAGAGGAAACCAGAAGGTCTGCCTCCCTTTTCCTGAACTAACATACATATAAAGAAATGTTTAAAATTTATTTTGAGTATATTATAAGATATCAATGAAACAGAGAGGAAACATAGAAGAGAAAACATTAAGTAATAACTTAAACTCACATTAACAGAAGTAGAATCACATTTTGATGCTGCTGGTTTTTATTTAAACATGTTATTCCAAGTAAAGATAAAACCTTTTCTTTAAAATGATAAACAAGATTATTTGATTAGCATCTGACTTCGAAGGAGGGCGGGGATCTTGGTGTTCTGATCCTTGGCTGAAGAAGCTGGCTGTTGGGGTGTGGAATGGCACCTAATCACTGCGAACGCCGTATTGATCGGACAAGAAACAACACGCAGGAGCAGCGAATTCAAACAAATACTAATGCAAATACTTTGCATTTTATTTTAAATAGTTATGATGAAAAAAAAATGTTACCAAAAAAGCCTTTAGACATGCATAGCTTAAAAAAAATCTGTGAAGTGTTTATGCTACGCATGTAAGTATTATGAGGGATTCAGTTTGACAAAACATAGCGTTTAAATGTTGTGTTCCTCTTTACTAGTTTAAAAATAAAAAAGCAATTCAGCTCAGCTTCTCAGAGGATCATGACTGACAGTTACAGGTAAAAACTAACTCATATTTCTCGTTTTCTTATTTAACAGAAATCTGCCAGACTGCAGCAGTTCTAGAGATCCCAAGTCATGCAGATGAGACTTTCTCTGGCATCATTATATTAGTCGACATTTTAATGCCATGTGTTTTTCAGCAGAGTCGACACAGAAGCAGTGCGTCAGATATAAAGATAAAACTGATTTACTGGATATAAAACATGCAATAAAATCTCAGAAATCTTTTACAAGAAAAAAAATGTTATGTCATATTTAAAATGCACTTTTGAAAATCAGTAAGACACAGAAATAGTTGTAGGCTACCATCCAACTCAGTGGCAGAGCCAGACTCACAGTCTTAGAGATTTAGATTTTAAATAAAAAAAACCTACAAGATTCAAAGCACAAACAAAGGTACTAAAACTAACTAAAACCATCCATCCATCCATCCATCCATCCATCCATCCATCCATCCATCCATCCATCCATCCATCCATCCATCCATCCNCATCCATCCATCCATCCATCCATCCATCCATCCATCCATCCATCCATCCATCCATCCATCCATCCATCCATCTTCTTCCGTTTATCCCGGGTCGGGGGGGTTGCAGCTTCAGTAGGGAGGCCCAGACGTCCCTCTCCCCAGCCTTTTCTTCCCGCTCAACACCATGGTCTCGCATTTGGAGACACTGATCCTCATCCATGCTGCTTCACACTCAGCTGGAAACTGCTCCATTGAGAGCTGTAGATGACGCCCTGAGAAGGCAAATAGAACCAAGGCGAATTACATGGACGCAATCCTAAGGCCACACAAAAGAATTCGCTCCACCGATACCTTGGCTGCGCCAACAAATTCTGTCCATAAAAGTTATGAACAGAATCGGTGACAAAGGGAAACCTCGGCGGTGACCAACCCTCACCGGAAACGAGTCCGACTTGCTGCCAGCAATGCGAACCAGGCTTTGATATCAGTCATACAGAGACACAACACACATTATCAAAGGACCCGGTACTCCATACCCGGAGTACCCCTCACAGGACCCCCTGAAGGACACGGTCAACAGAACACATGTGGACTGGTTGGGCAAACTCCCATGCAGCCTCCAGGACCCACCCCAGTCAGCCAATCTAGGAGAGCTGCTTTCGATGTCCATGCAATGTGTAACCAACACAGCCCCACAACATCCACAGCCTTAAGGTACTCAGGGTGAATCTCATTCAGCCCTGGGGCCTCACTACAGAGGAGCTTTTTAACCACCTAGGCAACCTCAGCACCAAAGATGGGAGAACCCTACCTGGAGCCCCCAGGCTCTGAGTCCTCAAGGAAGATGTGCTGGTGGGATTAAGGACGTCTTTGAAGTATTCCGCCCACCAAAACATGACGTCCTTGTTCGTTATGGATAATCTAGACAAACACAGAAGTACAATAACACAACACTACTCAAGTTAAGCTCTTGGTGGGCCATTCCTACCAACCAGGCCCCTCTCACTGTCATTGCCCATATGAGTGTTGAAGTCCCCCAGAAGAACCAGGGAGTCCCCTAGAGGGGCACTCTCCAGTACCTTCAAAAAGGGTGGATAATTTGCACTGCTGTTTGGTGCATAAGCCTAAACAACAGTCAGAACCCGACATGTGTGTGGTGACGGGTTTACCGCTAATGTACTGGCACCAAGATGAGGGCCAACAAGTATGCCCTCTGCTGCCGTTGGCACGTGCTTATGGTTGCCAGTGGCCTCACCATGAGGCCATTCCCAATAGCACTGCCGTTATATCTGTGTTAAGATAGGAGCCACATTGGAGAGGGAGATAAAAAAGCATATTTCACACTTTATCCTTGACAGGATAGATTGACGTATAAAAAAAACCTCAGCACAAGAAAAGCACATATAAACACACAACAAACATTTTAGCAGAAGGAAAACATGGGAGGCTGGAGCCACATGAAAGTCAATCTGACATTTGAGCATTATTTGTGTGTATGATGAATGCGTTCAATTTGTCCTGGAATGTTGTCCACAGGCCATTGTCCTTGATAAGAAGTAAGTATAAAAAACCAGGACTGTAGTTCTGGACACATCCACAGATGTTCGGGGGGATTGGGGGCTGTGGTGAGGGGCAGTTCTCTTGGGCCCTTCCGCCATAACATTCATGGGAGGAATGATAAGGGGGAGGCCGAATCCCCCTTATTGTTTTGAGAGCAGGCTGCACAGGAATTGTCCGTCAGCCTTGAGTCTTTTCTTGCTGGCATAAGATGGCAGATCCAACATTCCATATTTGTTGGGCTTTTACCTCTTGTAGGTAAAAGCTGTGGTAAGTTCAATTACCACAGCCCACCTGCGTCCAATTGCACCCAACATACGGCTCATCTCCCGGTCCGGCTTGTTCACAGCCTTGGTGAGAGTGTCAACCGCTGGCAGCAGCCTGGTCAATGCCCAAATTGCTGCAGAAATCCTCTGTAATAGTAGATACATCAGGCATCCTCCAAATTCAAATAGGAGAAATCCAAGTATCATAAATCAGAAAATCCATATACTTTTGAGATATTCCACTGACAACATTGTAAAACACGGCATCCTCCAAGCCTTCCAGGAATCCATGGTGGATCACACAAATTATGCCCCGCCAGACAGGGTCCCCTTAACCCTGTCTGCCTGTTGAGAAAATGTAATTAATTGCATTGAGAGACCAGCTGACCAGATCCATTGTTTGAATTCGGGTGATAGGAAGAGAGAGCTCAGAAAAGACAAGACACAGCAAAGCAGGGACAGAGCAGGGAGGAGCAGGAAACACGACCGCCTCCTTCAAGAGTCAGAACAGAATCATTTATTTTTTAAACTTAATTTATCTTTTGTGATTAAAGATTTTTTCAAATAAACCATTCACTGCTTATTAGTTCTTTTTAGCTGTTACTTTGATTAGAAATGCTATAGGAGTCCCTTTACAGTAACCCTCCCTTTTTAAAACATCACAGTGGAAGCTCTTTTTATAATATTTATCAAATTTAGCTTCATTAATTTTTCAAAAAATGTTTATTTGTTCCTCTGTTTTATTTTTCAGCAGAATGTCTGTGAACAGCAGCTCTGTGGCTGAAGACCAGTCCAAAGCAAACACCAGTAACTGTTCATCCGTATCTGATGAGTGGGTCTACAGCTTTGTCCCGGTGTACATCCTGTCCATCTCTGTGCTGGGAATGGCGTTGAACATCTTTGTTCTGATGGTTTTCATCCTCCATAAGAAGTCCTGCTCCGTAGCTGAGATCTACATGGGAAACCTGGCTGCTGCTGACTTGCTTCTGACCTCCTTCTTGCCTTTCTGGGCTGTTAATGCTTGGAATCAGTTCGAGTGGAAGTTTGGTCTCGCTATGTGCAAAATCGTCAATGTGGCGATTCCGATGAACGTCTACTGCAGCATCTACTTCCTGATTCTGGTCAGCATCGATCGGTACCTGGCTCTGGTCCACCCGCTGTCTCATCAAAAACTGCGTCGGCCAAAATGTGCTAAAATTTCTTGCGTCCTGGTTTGGATTCTGGGTTTCGTTCTCAGTCTTCCGAAGCTCATCAACCGGACTCTGGATAAGATCAGTTGTGAGGAAAAACATGATCTCATATCTCTCATAAGCGACATCATGTTTTTGGTGTTTGGGTTTTTTATTCCCATTTCAATTATCCTGTTCTGCACCATCAAGATTCTCCAAACTCTAGGAAACAGATTTATGGAAGAGGAAAAAACAAAGAGGAAGGATAGGAAGGCCACCACTTTGGTCCTGGCTGTCTTGTTTGCATTCCTGATCTGCTGGGTTCCATATTATCTGCTCAAGATACCATCCCTGCTCAATGATTTTGGTTACCTGCAGGACTGTAACTCTAGAATTATCATGTTCTACTGTGGACAGATCTTCATGTACCTAGGCATCTTCAATAGCATTCTTAACCCGATTCTCTACGTCATTGTAGGGAAAAACTTTAGAGAGAAAGTTAGGGAGCTCTTCACGCAGTGGAACCACCAGAGAAGTTCCACCATCGGCCTAACATCTGCAAGTACAAAGTTTTTAAGAAGTGTTAAACCCAAACATACCAACTTGTATGTGTGTCAAAAGCAACTCGGTTAAAATAAAGACGAGTCATTGGATGATCCAGAGGTTCATCCTTTGACACGTTTTCATATCCTGGCTCCAGTTTTATATCTTTCTTTATCAGCTGCTGAACAGTTGATCAGTGAGACGATTGCTCAACAGTTCTAGAAGAATCCTCCAGAAATCAGGGGAAGAACATCATCTGGTTCCTCTAATTCATCACAAACAGAAGCTAATATTGAAGAGGCTGGGGAATTTTTATTCTCCATTATCACAGGAAAAAAGAGGATTTTCTTTAGGAATCAGGATTAGAGTCCAGTCAGAATAACGGGTGCGGTTCTGATCCAGTCCAGTGCAGATCTTTGTTTTTTCACCTCCTGTTTATTTGTTGCTTCATTTTTGTATAATGTGGTTTGATTCAGAAAAAGCCTTTTTTTCGTAACTCACTCAGTGTTTATTGCTTCCAGAATAATCCAGTTATAACGCTGCTAAATAATTAAACACGATTAGTACATGTTTTATTTTCCCTGAAATAATGGATTAATATTAAGATAATGGGGGCAATTTACCAAGAGATGGCTTTGTGTAACAGTAATGGTTCTCTATAGTGTATATGCTGCTTTAATTTGATGTTTGCTGCACCCATCTGATGTGTCTTTGCTTCATT